CCCAAATAAAAACTTAAAAGGAAGAACTAAGAATTACTTCTTCCAAAAAAGAAGGGAAAAAGAGTCCCGTGTGGAAGCCGAACCAAAGCATGTTGCACCTGACAAATGGTAATTAGATTTTTGATTGCCAATGATTTTGCAGCCCTGTTGGGTAGCAGTGTGAAAAAAAAAACTGTTGAAGAGATATTTATCTTTACAATTATTTTGTTTACTAACATGTGGCGTAGTTCAAGCTCCTTGAAATTGAGCACACATTTTGTACTTTATTTGTTGAGCATGTGGTTCATTAAATGAAGGTTGGTCTGATTTTTATTGTTTGGAAATCCATTTCTGGGGGTTAACTTGATTAACTATTAGGTACACTTATGAAACCAAATAAGCAATTTTATTACACAAATTTTAAAGGTATTAGTATAAAAATGTACTCTGGAATGTTGGGTAGATTTTGCTATTTCAAAGCTGTTGACTTGAGATAATCTTTACTGAAAAAATTATTTGGCTAAATTTACCCAGCCAGATTGTTGTAAATTCTTACCTGAGTTTATTTGGGGGTAAATTCTATAGGGTTTTTTTTTTTGGTTTTTTTACAGTGTATGAACCCCAGTGCCATACACAAGATGTAAGGTGAGCTACTGTAATCAGCTGACGATGATGGTGGCAGGACAGCGTAATCAAGAAGAGAACATTAGTCATTGTTATGCAGGTGAAAGGCTGTAAGGAAAGGTTTGGATATCTTCCAAGGTTCCATTGGTGTCTTAGCATTACAGCTGCATAAATCAAGCGGCATAAAGTTTCTCCATCCATGTTCTCTCGAGTCTTTGACTTCGGAACCGGGTGTATGGATCCATCGTTCTAGGATCTGACCGATAAGAGGCCAGAGGTCATAACAGTAAATGTGACAATTATTGCTTTTGGATGTAATTATGGTATAATTCAGCAAATTAATGCTGAGTAAACAAAGCCAGATCACATTACTTTTCTGCTAATGACTCCTGCTAAACTAATGCGTATCTGACTGTTTATGTCTCTCTTCCAATTTGGTCTTTTCTTCCCAGTCCTCTTTCTATTTTTAGCCTCAACCTTTTTAAACTTGGCATGTTGTTTGCCTTATTATCACCTCTACTTGCTATAATTTTCACCTCTCTCCTGCACTTCCTTTGCTTTTGTTGTCAATCTTCTGACTGGCCCTCCCTTTCTTCCACAGGCCAAATGAAGTGGCAGAAGAAGATATTTCTGGCCCTCATTGTCATCTGTACTGTCAGTCTTCTGCTGCACCATGGGGGCCACTTCACCTGGTGAGGACTGAAGAACAAACCAACAACATGTGAAAAAATAAAAAATAAACAATGTAGACCAGCTACCTGTGTTAAAGCGTATGTTAAAAACGTTCTATGCCAGTCGCTAAAGTGTGAAGTATAGGTTTTGCTTCAACAGCCATCAAACGATGACTTTGAACATATAACATCTAAAAATCTGTGATCATATATTTTTGTGGTATAAAGAAACTACAGAGTATGACTGCACTGATTTTTTAAAAATTGTCCTGCAAGTGTGTTTGGTGAAAAGGTGAATTTTTATGCTGAACTGTAGAATTTAAGATTTCATAAAATTTTAAACAGGATTGCAGAAAGCTAGCAACAATGACTTATTTTTCTTATTTTTGCACTTTTTTTCACACCCTCGCTGTTCTCTTTTATTCTCTCCAGTTGTTGTGGAATTATGTCTCCAAAGTCAATTGTTTTTGGTTGGAATTGCTAGCTTTGAGACTAATTGCATTTCCTTTTCCTTCAGGAACATGGAGGCCTTCCGCTTTGGCTGCTCTCACCAGTCCCAAGGGACAAAGCCGAAACACACCCACATTGTCTTCCTGAAGACCCACAAAACGGCCAGCACCACCATGCAGAACATCCTGTTTCGTTTTGCAGAGCGCAACAACCTGATGGTGGCGTTGCCGGTCCAAGCATGCGGTCATCAGTTCTGTTACCCACGTACCTTCTCCTCTCACTTCGTCCATCTGCACACGCTGCGACCAAACCTGATCACCAACCACATGCGCTTCAATAAGACAGCATTGCAGCGCCTGATGCCAAATGACACAATATATATTACAATCCTGAGAGAACCAGCCTCCATGTTTGAATCCTTGTTTACATACTACAGCCGACACTGTATGAGCTTCAGGAGAGTCCCGAATGGCTCTTTGGAAGCGTTCTTGGCAGAGCCGTCACAGTACTACAGGCCACAAGAGGTAGAGTCCATGTACGCACGCAACACCTTGACCTTTGACCTGGGTGGAGACAAAGATCGTCCATCAAAAGACTTGGCTTATGCACATGACTTTGTTGCGGAGATTGAAAAAGTGTTCTCCCTAGTAATGATTTCCGAATACTTTGATGAATCACTTATTCTTCTTCGCCATCTTCTCTCTTGGGATTTGGAGGACATCCTGTATGTCAAGCTGAACATGCGGACGGAAAGTTCCAAGAAGAGATTGTCTCCAGGTCTTCCTGAAAAGATCCGTGCCTGGAATTCCATAGATGCGTACCTTTATGAGTACTTTAATGCTTCATTCTGGCTCAAACTGTCAGATTTGGGTCTAGACTGTGTGGCGAAGGAGGTCCAACTTCTTCGACAGGCCCAACAGAGGCTAATGAGAAGTTGCTTTGGTGGGAAAATGCCACTTCCACGCCCAGCTGCAGAGATCAAGAACAAGGATCTCCGTCCCTGGCAGCCAAGCGACAAAGTCGACATCGTCGGCTACGACCTCCCGGTAAATATAAGCCATGAGGCACAGGAGCACTGCCTCAAGTACATCATGCCAGAGATCTCATACACGCGCATCCTTCTACATTCCCAGTCCTTGCGACATCGTCAAAGTTTTCAGAGTCGCCCTCCACAAAAGTCACACACCCTCCAACATCACATGCGCACAACCCTGCCTCGGCATTCTCAGGTCCACCGCAGCCAACCGGCGCCCTCTGTTGCTCAGCGCCCAGATTCAGGAACAGAGTCCAAATCTACCGCGAAGCAGAGTGAAGGAACTACGAAGCTAGGGCTTTAATTCTCAAGCAAAATGTGAAAATCTCATCAGAGCCCAGCAGACTGCACACTTCGACTCATCCTGATCCAAAAAAGACTACGATGGCCAGTTCATGAAACCCTGTGGAAGTCAAATTTGTATTTAGGAAAGCAAGTAAACTGGGCCACCTTTTCTCTCTGAAAACCCTTTTTAATTATGACTGATGAAAGACAAAGGATTAACCACGTCTGGACTTCAACCACATTCTCCTCCTTTGGTGTGTGGAACAGTAAAAGTGATGGAAAACCAAAAAGCAAGGACTAAACTGGAGCTAGACTCTGTGGATTCAGGTGAAAGTGGTTGAAGGAAACCAGTTGATGTAAGTCCTGGAACCAATGACAAGGTACTAATAATCTGCTCCATTGTAAGGCACAGAGTGTACTTTGTGTGCACCAGACTAGTTCTGTATCCGATTACTTTCCTTTATTTTCTCTTTCTTCAGCTCTGGTTTCCTTGCTTTCTAATTAGAATATATGTTGCTTAAAGTCCTTCGGACACACAATGACACTTGTGGATCAACTGTCAGGCTTTCGAAGACCCACACCGAGTTCACCTTCTTAACCTTTCTTATTTATAAAGTCCAGAACTTAAAGCAGCAAAGAGAGAGACCAGAGAAATGGCAGAGTCACGCAGACATTACATAGATGTCTGGATGCTGAGTTTTGACCACCCATTATTGTTATGACTCACACAGACAGAGCCCAGATACAGTGTAAAATCTGTGCCTCCTTAACCTTTGACCTCTCTTGCCTCCCCCTGGAATACTTTTCTCCATTTCTCAGCCAGGCGCCCTTGCTGTTATACCCTACATCTGCACAGAAGCACCAATGTCTTGGTTTAGTGCTGTTCAGATCTGCTTTTGCCCTAAATGCCACTGGCCACCTCGTCTTTCAAACGCGCCCTGTGGAAGTGAAGGCTTCAGCAGCGGAGACTGACGTGTGAACATGGCTGCTATTGCAATAAGATTCATAATCTTTTGATATTAAAGCCATGGATTCTTCAATCAAGCCAGAACATCTTTGCCCCAACCGAAGCCTACGTATGAACAACGTGGGGCGAAGACGTGAAGACAGCCTATGGCAAAAGCTCTAAGGTCACACACTTGTACATTTTCATTGCTCGACCAGTGAAAAGCTGCTCATTCTGAACTGGATCTGAAATATAGGAGTGGAAATCAAGAGAGAAGGTAGACTTAAAGCCTGGTAAGACAGGTCGGCCGGTGAACTGTCGAACCGTATCCACTTGAACTGTTGTCTGCTCATATTTAAGCTGTAATTTTATTTACATCATGGCAAGAGGAGCCATTAATGTAACTTAAATGCTAAGTTATAAGGAGCTTGTTTTAGAGATTACGTAAGAGTTGCACATGTGAGTCGGGAAATGACTCTGCCTCATGTTGAAAGAGGAGCAACAGTGTGGCTGGTATTTTGAGTCTGTATGGGGAGTCTGTATGGGGAGTCCGTGTGTGGGTGTTGTGTGTGTGTTTGTGTCATTATGGCAAACTTGATTGTAAGAAATATTAGACTAATATGTACTACCATGAAACCAGCTTTGAGCCATTTAGGTTTGTGTGGTGGATGTTTTTTTTAAACACTGTAAGCTATGAGGACAAAAAGTTAAGCCCAAAACGATTCATTCCCGCAACAAGCAGTTTGTTTCTGATGAAAAAAATGAAAGATTGAAGGTAACAATGTTATAGGTGTGTCAACCTTAGAAAATAATAAGAAATTAATTACACAATGACAAGTTATCAAACAATATAGAAGCTTTTTTTTTTTTTTTTTTGGTATGACAGTTAGTAAACCCTTCCTAAAGTTGTTGATCCCTCGCTGGTATTTTGGCCGTTTCCTTTCGGTGATGATCTCCAAGTCTTGCAGGTCGGAAGGCCTCCTTGCCATCACCCAAATCTTTAGCTTCCTCCAATGATTCTCCATCAGGTTTGAGTTGGGACTCAGGCTGGCTAGCTCCAAAGTTTCAAAAGGAACTTGCTGGTAGGAATATTTTTGGGCTTAGCTGTAAATGAAGGAATGGACAGGCATTTAAACATTGAGAAATGCAATGCAGCCGCAGAACAAACAGCTCAAAAGGTGTTTGGGCAAATTACCACACTGGTTTAATCCTATGTAAACAGGGCAAAAAACATATTTTGTGTGAGTTCATTAAATCTACACTATCTCTTATTTATTATCAGGGATCTAGTATTCCCAGTGCTGTGTTGTATTTTTGCCTTTTGTTTGTAGTGAGGAAAGGTTGCATTTCCATCGCATTATCATTGTGTCTGCTGCAAACCTCTTAAGGCAGTGCAGATGGAAGAAGACGTAGGGCAGCAATATGAAATATTCATTCTGTACGGATCACTTCTGAAGCTCCAACGAGCCCAATCACCCGATACTTCATTTTTTGTTTGACTCTATTACTTGGCGTATAACAAAGAAAGCACACAAACAGTTACACGAACATAAACAAAGCATTATAATTTATGTTTTCAGAAGGGTGTGAATATTTAAAAGTCAAGTTGAGCTTGAATTTTTAAAGTTTTGCAATACATATAGTTTTTTGTTTGTTTTATTTGAAGTAATTTTACATTTGAAGAGACATGTTGTATTTCTTGAAGGTGCATAACACTGTAATAGAGCGACAATGGGTCTGTTTCATTTTACAAACCCCCACCAAAGATGCATTATAGGATAATCTCATCTTTGCATATGTTCTTAAATGTTTGTGGAAAATGCAGACAAGGACTTACCTTTTAAAACAGCTAATAGTGATTTTTCTGTTGTATTTGAATGAGTTTGTGTGAAAACATGTTGTGCTAATTGCGTCTATTCATTGGGATCATAAAATATACCGTGATGCTTTGAAAGTACTCAAACGTGACAGGTTGGTGTGTGTGTAACACTTAAGTCTTGTGAAGACATTTGGAAACAGGACTAAGCTTTGAAATACAGACTATTGTACTTTAATGGGCAAGAGTCATCATGTTCAGAAAACAAATGAATTACAATTGGGTGTTATTTGTATAAAGTTACTCAAATAACATAAATATAAAACTATGTGTAGTTTTAACGAGGTTTCCTTTGTATCTTCACACAAGAGAAGCGACAATTTTTTTTCAGTGTCTGAGCCAAATGAATGATAGTCATTTTTCTGACTTTCCTTCCAAATTCCAGTGTGGTTGATGTAAACTTGAAGTTAATTTGTAGGACCAAGCTCTATGTTGTGTGAAAACTAGTTGCAGAGGGACCTGCAGAGTGTGAGTGGTGTAACACTCAGTTTATTCAGTACACAGCTACGTTAGTGCAGCGTGGTCAAACCCTTAAAAAAAAAAAGCACACTAAGTGATTATGTGTAGATAACTGAGACTTTTAGCTGCTTCCTTTCACAAGAGTAATGTTTTTTACACAACCACTGTCCAGCTCACAAATAACAAGCAGACTAATCTAGTCACACAGCTTGTAGAAAAAAGTGAGATGATGCATTTGTGCATCAAACCAGTGTTGTTCAGAGCTGGAGCAGGTCTGAATACGGCCAGAATTTAATTCTCTGCAATCACACAAGGGGATTTGCTACTGCGGCAAATTACAGGCCGACTGGGCTAATCAGAATTTGCTTTTAAACCCTGGCAGGGTTGCTGGTTTGTTAGGTCTCCAATCTGTGGCTTTGTTACCCCAAGTGGATAAATTATGACATAAATATGTTATGAGCTGCAGTTTGATCTAGAAACTTGATCATCGCTACTTTCCTGTTGGATTTGTTGTCAAAATTATGATATGAGCCTTTTAAAGCGAACCATAAAGTTGGTAGCTTAACTTATTGTGTACTGGCTTTGGGGGAAAGGTACATTTTACAATTAAAATATGATTTTATGTTTTGTTTTTTGGGGGGGGTTTTTTTGTAGATTGTCATTTCATAATGTGAAATTGAAGTAATTTTGAACATTTTGGGTCCTTCGGGTTTTGTATGAAACTGATGTTTTGAGTAATCGCATCATTTGTGTAAAGGGTTTAAAGCTGAACCACTGAATCAGATTTTCTGCCATCTGTCCAGCGTAATTTATATAGACATGAAGGTAAATGAATCGGATCAAAGCCGACGTGTGGAAATGTTTCTTGTCTAACTAGGATTCAGATTAAAAATGTGTCAGGTTTTTTTTTTTCCTGTATTAGTTATTCTTTTATAAGTGATTTGCTATAAGTGCTCTATTGTCTGAAAGAAGCATTTGCAGCCCTTGTTTTTTCTTTTCTTTTCTTTTTAGTGGAAACATGTAATAGTCATGATGTTGTGTTCCTCTGTTTTTTTTTTGTTTTTTTTTTTAAATGTGAAAAGTACTATAAAAATATCTACAGTAAAATTTCACATTCCCATCAGCAACTCTTATTTTTATTCATATGAACCTTCGGTAACAGGATATGTTTGTGTTTAGTAAAACAGGGAATCAGACTAAAAGCGAAGGGTTTTATAGAACATGTTATTCTGCTGACCAGGTCGTCCATTTTAGCTTTGATCTGAACACTGTTTTTCTTTCTCCCCATTTCCTGTTTTCTAGGATTTATCTGTGAATTAAGATATACGTATATATATATATATTTTCTGATTTGGTGAAAAAAGTGTGAATGAATGACGGGGTTCTGGAAAAAAAAAACAAAAAACAAAAAGAAAAACCAGGAGACAATCAGAGCTCCAAAGCTTCGCGGTGATGGATTGTGAATGTAATGAATAAAGCGAGAACGATTTCACCTCGTCTGTGAGAGACTGTTTTTGAGTCTGAAAAATGTCCTCTCCTTCGCAGATGTGTTCAGAAGCGCACCGACTTGAATCATTCGGCACATCAAGCCGTAGCACACACACACACACACACACATACACACTTGAGCCGCGGCGGTCCGTACCGCACAATAAGAGTCGCTCACTTTAACAGACGGCTTCTGAGCGTTTTCTCTTTCCCCCGAGGGATCAGAGCAATTCGGCCCGTAATCGCTCTCTTTGAAATTACCTCCATTCTGCATGCCCGACTAAAAATCCTGGAACAAATTGCTTCTGGGAAAGTAAAGAAAAAAAAAACAGAAGGGAAAAACAAGAGAAACGCAGCAGTGTGTTTGATGTGACTGAAGCGGTCATGGCGGCGTGTTGCCATTTAACGGCTTGCTGCAGGTCACTTGTTGCCATGGCTGTGCCTGTTCTTAGGAGGTCCTTCAGACGCTGTGCTTCATCACTCTTCCCCCCCCCCCACTCCACCACCACTTCACTGCTGCCATGGCATTTTAAGAGAAATTGCAGTTATTAGTGGCTTAATTAGAGTGTGGAAACAGACAAAAGGGGACGAATAACAAGCCGTGATGTAGAAAAGTAGACGAGGAAGTTTCATTATCAAGTTTTTACTTCTCTAGCTCGGATCGCATCCATTTTTAAAGAAAAAAAAAATCTCAGCTGCAGTTTAAAGAAGGCGTAAAGATGCAGAGTCCGTATTTATCGCCGATCTGTAGCTATTTAAGGTGAATTCTCACCAGTCCACATTTCTGTCCACACCACCGTGAAGCCTGTCTGTTTCACTTGGACACAGTCCCTTAGAAGTTTGTTCCAGATTTGTGGTGCATAGAAGCTGAATGCTATGCACCTGTCTTTTGTTCTCTATGAATCTGAGTTTTGGCTCACATTTCAAGTCTTCCCAGCTCACTTTGTAGTTCCTTTTGTAATAGTCAGTCATCTTCTCTCTGCTCTCGGCTCTGTGTTTTCCTGCAGCTGTCCAGTATTCCTGTGATCAGGTGTCACTCCTCGGTATTCAGGCTTCCTTGTTGTCATCGTTCCTCCCTGGATTCTCCTGCTGCATTTCCTGCTCTCCTTGTGCCAAGACAAAAAGGCTTTCTATGCTAAATTCGTCACAACTCACCGTGTTGTGCCCAATTGACTCGCCTGCCTCACTAAACACAACATTCACAACAGGGCAGCAGGAATGTGCTGCTAGCAAACATCCCCACCAGTCACAGGCGCTTCAGGAAAATCTCACGCCAAGGTTTACAAAATACATCATTACAGAACCTGCTCCCATGTTTGAATCCTTTTTTATGTATTATAGCCCTTATGTTCAGAGTTGGATCCCTGATAACCGTCTTGAAACATCCTTTACGTTACCATCAGCTAATGTGTTAGCCTTAGTGATGGTTTCTGAGTACGTGGTCCTTCCTTCTTCACCATCTTCTTTCTTGGGATTTGAAGGACGACTTATATATCGAGTTCAATGCGCGGACAGAAGTTACAAGAAGAAACTGTCTTAAGATCTTTCTGCAACGATGTGTGCCAGGATTTCCTACTTTTGCGACAACTTTAATGCCTCTCTCTGGGTGAAACTGTCAGATTGTTTTGGTCTAGACTGCGTGAAAAAGCCTCACAGGAGAAGACAAGCGTCCAAAGACGAGCATTTCTGTCCATGGCAGCCCAGAGGAAAAGTGGGAATAGTCGGTTCCCACCAGGAAATATTGAAAACATCAGAATTTATCACGACTGAGGTCTCAAACACACCAGAGTTTCTACGTGTGCAGTTACAGCAACGATGTCATAGTGTTTGAAACCCACAAGGAGATCTCAGTGTCTCCAAACTAAGTCAACAACAAAGTCCCCAAAGCGGCATGAATTATTAGAGTGAAACAATGAGATTTAAAACATTTCTTATACACAGGACATGATGATCGGCAGGTAGAGAGCTATTGCTATTATAGATAGAGTTTTATCTATAAAACTCTAGTTTATTGACCAGCTCAGGGAAAATTCAGCTTGTTACATCGGTGAATGAAGAAAAAGGTTCATAAACGCCTGCACTGAACCACCATCTCTTTCTGCAGCAATAATTTCCTCCTTGAAATGATTTTTTGTTGTTGTCTTGCCATAAATAATATACTATATATAAATAATGTACAATCCAGATGGTTGATTGATGGTTAGTTGCTTATAACAAATTGACCTTTGAGAGAACAGCTAGACTCCTTTTCATTCAAAACTTAAGTTTGTGTCAACATGCGACGTGAATTAAATGAATCAATAAGTAAATGTATCATTGATGCACAAATCAATGTAAATAAAGTAAACACGAGCAAATCGTGTGTTGGCAAATATATTTTTTCGGTCTGATTTAAATGAAGAATGTGTCTGTTTTTTATATTTAGGCTACTTCTTCATTCCTGTAAAAAATACCAAGTGGTTTCAGTGTAAGAGGGATTTGTGGAGGTGGAGAAGGACTGTGGGCTCATTAAAGCATTGATTTATGTCTGGAGTGGCCTTAAAAAGACTTCAGGTTTTTTAAGCTGGCTTGGAAAGCGTCTGTCACAAAGCCTGCTGCCGCTTTTCGGTCAACAGTGGCTTAATAAAGACGAGAAGTCAAAGAAAATCAGATCTGGGAAGAGCATCCTGAAAGGCCAGTTATTTAAACAAAAGCCTAAACATCAAGCTAACTGAATCATCACTAAAATCTGGAGATCATGTATCTAATACACACAGAGTGAGTCTGGAAGAAACTCATCCTTTCTGGGAAAATACTTTTTTTTTCTCTATCAAGTGTTTCTGCTGTGATATGTTCATTTCTACCTCAGCTCCTCCAAACATCGCCTCAGCGTTTGAGCCCAGCTCTCTCTCTCTCTGGCTCTCTGAGTCACGGCGGCCCGGAGGTTCCAGTGTGTTTCCGTGAGTCACAGCCCGCTGGAGCAGCGCAGGATCACAGACGGCTGGCAGGGTGAGGAGCTGCTGCTGCTTATCTGCAACACTAGGAGTTCGTCCCGGTGTTCTCTGAGTCAGCACTCTGCTGAGCTCCCGGGTCTCGCTGACACCAAATTTACATTTTGTTCTTGCTTTCCCGTCCCCTCTTGAAAAGACAGTTTGCAGTTGTGAGTTTAGTTCTCTCAGGCAGGAATCATGTAGATGAGTCAGTCAAAGGTCGACCGCTGGTGCTGCAGAGCTGCAGGTTTTCAAGTTGAGCGACTTCCAGGAGCACAGAGGCGTGTTTTGATTGGCTGGTTCCAACAATTTGAAATAATTTTCGAATATCATGAACTTGATGTGCTAACTGAACATTGCAATGGAGCTCCTTAGGGTTCGTCTCTAAGCTTTCCACTGTCGACTTTTGTGTAAAGTTTTTGTTAATCCCCCATAAACAATTTTACAGTGTGTAAATATGAGAACTGTTGACGTTAATCTAAACATTTTAAGGTGCTAATATTACATAATTAGATGAATTGTAATCCCTATTTTGACCTAAAAGCCTCTCTGCCACTGAGGGTTACCTCGTTCACAGCAGCAGCGCACGCGCGCCACATGGTCTTGTTCTGCGGTCAACATGCAAACATGAATGAAAAAATGAGCGAGGAGAGTCAGACTGGTGTGTTTCATCAAATTTCACTGTAAAAAACAATGCACCCTACTTATTGCTGTGATGAATTATCCTCCCACCAAAACACAATCAGATTACAGTCAACATTTCTAAATTACGTTTGAAACTAAATGACTTCCTTTAAACCTTCCTGATTACAAAAACCTGGTCAACTGAAATGTTTGGTTTGAGACGGTAAAACATTATTTTTAAACATTTTCAAGCTTTCAAATAATTGATCGTGATTAATCGCTGCTGTAGTGATTAATCTATTTCATATTTTTAATCGATTGGCAGCACTTCTGCATAAACTTATAGTTTATATGCACTATATTGTGCATATAGTGATAGCACAATAGATTAAAGCATAAATAAAATTATATTGACTATTGGAAACAATGTAATAATGACCAACATGTCCATGTCAGAGTTTGACTGAACAGTATGAGAAAACATACCGCTGTCAAAATACACAAAACATGAAACATATAAACAACAGAAAGACATTACAGCAAAATCAGACCTAATCCTGTCCCAATAACTAATTTTACTGGACGATAAATTGTCCCAGAAGTTATTGCGATAAACAATAATATTGTTGCTTTAAGGCCATTTTCAAGCAATATAACGGTAAAGGGGTAATAATGAATGAACACATTCTCCAAGATCAATAAACTTTACATTTTAATGAACATTTAACACTGGAACTGGAAGACATTTTAAATATCCAAAATGAAACAAGCGGAAACAGTCTTTGTAAACAGGGCTGTTTGAGACCAAAGCACCAAACTAAAGACTTTTATTATCCAGTTTTAGGTTAAAAAAAAATGTAAAAAGAGAGAGAAAAAAAGATAGAAAAAAAGACATCATGCAAAATAAATTTGCTGAACTCATTTTAATTCATCATGCAATGAATTGATTTATTGTTTATTGTGATAAGCCTGACCAGGTCAGTGTAGAAACCTTCTCTCTGATTGCCCAACTGTGTTTATAACACACTTTGGGGATTGTGCACAGACACACACACGTTTGCGTGGCTATCTTTGTGGGGACTTTCCATTGACTTCCATTCATTTCTACAGCCTAAACCTAACTTTTACCATTTTCCTAACCATCACATACCTAACCCTAACCCCAACCAAAACTCAATTCACACCTTAGTTATTCTAACTCTGACCCCTGACCCAAAAACAGGGTTTACCTTGTGGGGACCAAGCTCCGGTCCCCACAAGGAGAAAATGGTCCCCTCAACATAGTATGTGTCAGGAAAATCGTCTATTACAAACAAACGCACGCACACACACGCATGTAAACAAACTTTATTCAGCACCATGGATAGCAACATGCTCTTTATTCCACTTGGCCCAGCTTGGTGAAGGACGG